AACATTGCTGATATCATTTTTTAGGAGAAGCATTCCGAGAGATTTTTAATTAGCACTGTATCGTGTTAACTATTTTTCCACTTTGCCATTTATCCCAAATATCAACGTGCGTATTAAAGTGCTTCTATATTTAGATAAGGGTATTTCCGATCGCGAGCAATACCTCACATTTGATATAGAAGAAAGAGTATTGATTCTCTGGTTATTTTGTAACTCATTTTGCATTCAAAATTTACAGTGTATCCAAAGATATACAGTGGTATAAAAATAAAAAAATATTAAATATAAGGGTAAATATCTATTTCAATCATCATATTTAATCATCCAATGCATAAAAGGCTTGCATATTCTTTTCGTATATTAAAAATGAAATGTTACGAACATCGGTCAAAATGTGCAGCTATCCACCGGCTAGCGGTGGCGTCTCCATATTTGTGTCAAATTCTCGAGAGGGAATTTATGCAAAAAAAAAAAAAGAAAAAAAAAAGAACAAAACAGTTTTAAATAATGTGATTAAAAAATTCCTTGGTCAATGTGGAATTTTTTTTTAAAAGTTACATTTGTAATATTGTAGACTACGGCTTTCCAAAATTGCCCCGCTTCGACATCGACAGTGTCCTATACCAAATGTCCACACACACATGAAGAGTGGATGGCTGCAACAAGACGAAAAAATTGCTCAAGCATTTCCCAAAACTGTACTAGTCCAGAAAATTTCAGATATCATTGTGTTTCAAACGCCTTCATGAATGAAACAATTGAAGTGTGTGCTCCTGGATTATTTCTTTTAGGTATATAATATATGTAAGAGGAAATATGCTTTTCTTAGACATCTAAATGTTTTACAGTTTTGTATATAAATTTTTTTTGGCTAATTATGAAAATCATATTGACATTTGTGTTTTTTTTTTTTTAGGATTTTGTCCAGAATATAATTTCCGTGGTGAACGAATACAAGATAACTACAACGCTGATTGTAAACATTACGCACAGCCTTGTGCAAACAGATACGAGTCTTGGAAGTCCTACAAATGTAAGCGCTATAATATTTACATTAAATTTTGTATGCAATGAAAACGTTAACGTTATATTGTCTGAGAACTTAGTTATAACATTCGTTTTTGGTAATCAACGCCTTTGAATTGTATTACTAGTATATAAAAATCCTTTTTATTTTAGTTCCAGAATGTGTTGCTGTGAAAAACACAAAGCACAGAAGTAAATCCTTATTATCGAATAAAGTTTCAAATTTTAGTTCAGTGAAAAAAAAAATTGAAAGACCAGAAGTGTAAGTGCCATCTACATAAATAAATGTCGAATTTCATGTATCTATCATTTAATTTTGTTTTAAATGTTATATTGAATTATGTTATATTATGTTCATGTGCACTGTACGTAAATATTTTTTTCAGCAGTGCAGACAGTTCTATGGACGTGATTTTATGGTCGTGCCTGAGTCTTTCATTCGTTATATTTATATCAGTTTGTATATTCCTTTTTATGAAAAGAAGAAAGGAAAAAAATACAAGGTATACTGATTAGATTTTTGTCATCTTGAATTTTATGATTTTTATATAATATATTCAGTGTATATTACAGACATCACATCAATTCATTTTTCTACAGAGAAATGTTCCCAAGAACATGAAGAAGATAGACCACTTAATGATATCGAATCCCAGAAAAGGTGATTCTTAAAGATGTGGATAGCTATACTTAATATTGTCATCATATAACTTACTGATTATCAAAAACTGTGTGAATGGATTCGCTGGACATTCAATTACATAAAAGCAAAAAATATTTTTAATCAACATGATTAAGAATTGACTAAAATGAATCAAGCATTTCTAAAATTTGCTAGGATGTCTTTAATTGAAATTTTATTTGCTATTGTAAATCTTCAATGGTTTCTATCTTTTCATTAGAAATGATTTGCTATTTTGTATTTTAACTGTTGTGAAAATATGAGCTCCATTTAAAATAAGAACAGTAAACGTTTTATTATGCGGTATATTGCATTGTTTTTTGTTTTTGTTTATGTTTTAGTTTTTTTGTTTTTTGCTATAGTACCCTGATGCTCTCGATTAAAATTTGTGCTTCATTCATTTTAATGTATATATTTCTTGAGTTGTCAGTTTTACTCAATCATTCATATACATGTATATGAATATGTGTACCAATTATTCTTTAGTTGTTCAGACAAAAGTTTATGTGGAGGTAAATCAACATGTCGATTGGACAACTGTAAAATAACTCATGTTTACGCGTACGGTTTCTTAATGTTTTGGGATGAATAAAAATACGTCCTTTTTAATAAATTTGCTTAATCTCCTGAGCAAGAAGAGGAATTTTGCAACAGTTTATATTTACAACGTATGCTCTCATCATAAATGGGCGATTTAATAACTCAGAGTAATTGTAATAAAAAAGATATATCATTCAATGTGTCTGGATGCATTTAAAATGAGGTAAAATAGCTTATACGTATGTTGATGCAAAATAAAAGCAATATGAATAAAAACCTGTATACAATAGTTCAGAAAATAAAATGAAAAATTGCATGCACAAAGCAGACATGCTATTTGTCTAATTACAAAAAAAAAAACAAAAAACAAAAAAATAAATAAATAAATAAAAAACAACTAAACAACAATTAATTACATCTAATACATAGTCTATACAAGAAAAAGAAGGAAATTTTTTTTTTACAAATAAATGTCAACTTGTCAAGTAGTATTAATTGCTTTTACGTCCGTGCTGTCTCTAGTAATCTCTTTTATATCATTGCTTTCCGCATCACTTTGGCTATCGCTGGATTTCGAACTTTCCTCTAACATTTCTTCATTATTTTCCATACACACACTGTAGGAAACGTTTTGATCAAACCTGTTGAAAGTATCTATTTCCTGATATAATCCAGTATCATGTGTATTTCCATCCTTATCAACATCATGTTTATTGCATTGCGAATTTCTAAATTTCTTGCCAAAAATATACACGGAAACAAGCGTGCAAAATAACACAATGACAGAAAATATTGCATAAAGAATTGGTCTAATGTCACCTAAGACTGTAAAATGGACAGTTCCTCTGTTCTCGTCATCTCCAGGGTTGTCTGTAGAACTCGTAGAAGAAGTCAATGTATCATAATGTACGGTTTCTCCAGGAGCAGAATTTTTCTTTGATTGAATCACTTTAATAGTGCCATTCAATATGTTTTTGGCCGACGACATCTCTTCAGAAACTGTAATAAAATAAACAAAATTAAGCATGTGTGTTTTTATTTTAATTTTGCATGCAAATGCCTCATACGAAGAAAATGTTTGCAGGCTGATATTGTATTTCGAGTTGATTTACGATAAGAACTTCAATACAATTCTTAACTATTTGTTTATTTTATTTTAGGACTTTATTTTTTCTCAAGCTTGATAGCAAAGTTTATATCATAAATCCTGTTGTGAAATTGTTTGAAAAGTTACAAATGCAAGCTTTTTCAGTATAATTTTCTTTCTAATTTTGTTAATATTAAAGATTATTCAAAGAATGAAACTTAATTCAGCTTATGTTATACAATATAAAATACCTTGGGGCAGTATACGTTTTTCTTATAAACCGCAAAGCCAAGTATCCAGGCTTTTGAAGAAATTGCATAGTTTTAATACATAAATAGTACTTTATTTTGTTCTATTTACTTCAATCATTTTACAATGCACAGTGTATAAAGACTTTCCCATCACTGCGTAGCAACACGAATCACTTCTTATTTCGTAGCAGTTAATAAAGAATGGTATCCATGATTAGATTAAAATTATACTCAATTTTTATGCGCCCGGATCGAAGATCGAATATTGTTTTTGTCCTGTCTGTCTGTCTGTTTGACTGTTTGTCTGTTTATCTGTTTGTCTGTTTGTCGGCAAACTTTAACCTTCGCTTTAACTTTTGAAACATGAATGGTTGAGACTTCATATTTGATATGCATACTCCACTAATTAAGTTCTTTCAAATGACACCAAGGTCAGTGACCTTGTGACCTTGACTGTGAGCTATATGCTAAAAATAGTTTTTTCTGCAAACTTTAACCTTCGCTATAACTTTTGAATAATAAAAGATAAATCATATTTGGCATGAATACTCCACAAATTAAGCTCTTTCATATGACATCAAGGTCAATGACCTCGTGACCTTGACTGTGTCCTATATGCTAAAAATAGCGTTTTTGAACATTCACCATAACATTTGAACAATGAAAGATAGAGACTTCATATTTGGTATGCATACTCCACTAATTAAGTTCTTTCAAATGACACCAAGATCAATGACCTTGTGACCTTGACTGTGACCTATATGCTAAAAATATGTTTTTTAACTTTGTTTCGCCGGGCGCATCGTGTTTCGCAAACACATCTTGTTTTCAAAATGTACTTTTAAACGCTTTTAAGGATAACAATTTCGACTTTTTATAAGAACTTTCTGAGAACTTCAAATAACCTTGGAGCACATTGAGAGGCATGCATAAAATGAAAATTAATCCATGAAAATATTCAATTTTCAAGCTTCATTTTTGGACTTTTTGAATTAAAATATGAATTTAAGAGTTATCCTCCCTGGCTGAGGATTGGAGTACCTTAATATTATTTTGTCGTATCTAATCGTACGACAACGTCAAGAAAATAAATTTGTTGATATAATGTGACTTAACTTGAAGGATAAAACACCCTGTGGAAAAATCACATAGTTCTGATGAACAATTGCACAGTTTTTGGCAGTGTCGTCCATAGCTTGGAAAAAAACACGTGGCGGAGCAGTTGATTCCAAAATATCCGGGTAAACATTCTGTTGTAGTAAAAATTAAATGAAGAAACTTTTTTTGCAACTTAATCGAATGTTTACTACAAATAAAATATTATTGCTGGACTATTATATTAAAATAATTTTTTTTCTTCTTTACAAATAAAATTGAAAGGATCATAAATGTGAGTGATATTTTGAATTATTTATAAACAGTAAAAATGTCTAGGACGACAGATCTTAAACGTACCTACACACTGTTGGGTGGCCTGGCTCCATCGAAAACCTGCACAGCAATTTACTCCGTCTTCACTTTAAACATAAATAAGGAAAGAAAACAGCTATTCAAACAAAACTGCACAAGCTTCGGGGACTAAGTAGCTTTGTAGACGGTATTACACAGTTAAAGTATGTCATTGATAACAGACTTAATTTCTGTTTATGAGATCTAGCTATGATAGGTTCTCATTTTGAGGACAGGGGTGTTTCCACCCTCACAATTTTATAGGTTCAAAGTACAAAAACTGGATTTATTTTCATTTAATGTACTTTAAACTTTCCAATTATTGCAAAAAATGTACAGGTCACCATATTATTTAAGATGCGAAACATAAATAAACAGAAGTGTATGTCAACATAAAAAAATCGTACATTTTTGTAAACAGTATTATGAAAAAAAAATGTAAAAACTGGTTAAAATGCATAATTCTGATGCTGAGTGTTCCTAAATACTTCCTACTTAAAAGATACTTTTGAATTGTGACTATAAATGAAACTATTTTACAATAAAGCAAATGCCTGAATGAAGAGACCTTAGAAGGAGTTATTGCCCTTGTCAACATTTTTTAAAGATTGAATAATTGATTAAATATAGAAAATATGCATTTTTTAAATTCTTTAAGTTAACAATATTTATTATTACACCTATTGTAAAGCATTCTTCCAAGAGATATTGCTCTATTAGGTATGAATTTAAATTAATTACAGTTTTTGCAAAAACCTATGACATCATAGGAGGGTGGAATTACTTAATCACAGTTTAGATTTTTTTATCTTCAGCTTTATTCTATGCATAAGCTTAAAACTTTGCAATTTTGCAGAACACTTCAAATAAAAAATATGATGAAAATTTTATTTTATTATAAAAACAGTTTATGGTCTTGGGATCTCGCCTAGGGGAACTGGAATCTTGCTAACTCCGGCTATGATATATTTTTAACAGTTATATTATACCAATACAAAAGTAAAATTTAGAGGATTCAGATAGAGTTATTTCAAAGCAGGGATTAGCTCACTGAACTTACACACGGGGATTAGTCAAATAGATCTATGATACCAGGGGAACTATAGGTTTACTCTTCGCCTGTTCGTCTGTCTGTCTAGCTGTCCCTAACCACCTCGGGGGGAAATCCTACTCAAAAGTATGATTTCTGGGAGCTGGCTGTGGGGATATCCTTCTTAACTACACTGGAATGAGCTTTCGGAGCTCAAATAAGCTCACTTGACTAACGCACGGGGATTAGGCCATTCATAACGTTTTCTAAGGAATAAGTCACATCAAACGAGCTATTGTTATGTAGAGGAAAATGTCAGTAGAGGTATACTAAATTTTATATCTTTAGGATTAGTGGGTTTTTTTCTTTTAACAACAGGGAGGTTTTGAAGCTGAATTCAGATATTGTATAACCTCTTTGCACGTTCTCTTCAAAATGAAAGACTATTTGTACGTGTAAATATGCACCCAATTACGTGTACATGTAAAGATGATACTTTAAAATTACAATATATGCGCAGATCGATAATTTTCCTCATTTTTTTTTATGCATCACTTGTGTCCTTTAGATAAGAATTAGTCTTAAGAACTTATAGTAAGACCTACCCTTCACACTTTCCATTAATTCTCCTGAAATATGCTAAGATACCAATGACACAAAACACATCCAATTTGTAAATCATTATTGTTTGTACATATGGAGGTGTATAGCTTTGATCTCGTTTACAGCTTTTATTCTTCCTAGGGCAACTTATGGCATTTCCTGGTTATTTCATTATAATTTCCTATTTGCATAATTTTAGTTCATTATTTTCATTTGTAAATTATTGTCATGTTGTAAATTTTGTATTTACTGCCACCCGGTAAAATAAAAATTCAAAATTTGTCATGTTGTAAATTTTGTATTTACTGCCACCCGGTAAATTCAAAATTTACAACATGACACTTGTCTTGCTCAGGAAATAACGGGAAAACTCGTGGACAGCTCAGTGTCTAAATTAAACCATTATGAAAAAAACCAGTGAGAATATTTTTTCTTAATATTTACCTTCAGAATTTTATAATATTTATAATAAATGGAATAAAACAATATTTTTCTTCTTCAAATGATATCCAAAATATTGGTGTATTAGGATAAACTTTCGATGTTATTTTTAAATTTTAAATTCACACACATGTATTTGTTTTTCAAATTAAAAAATATGGCTCTTTAGGGATTGCCTTCAGGCTACAGCTGGGCTGAACGTTAACTGTACATTTTTTTAAAATTTATTGAAAACACCATTCCAATACATGTATTTGATAATCTGAAAGTATCTATTACACATTGGCGGATCCAGAGTGGGGGGGGGAGTTCCAGGGGTTGGACCCCCCCTTTATTTTTTGCCAAATATATATATATATATATATATATATATATATATATATATATATATATATATATATATATATATATATATATATATATATATATATATATATATATATATATATATATATGATATATATTGCTTAGGGAGACCACGGAAGATATATTATCTGGCTTAGGGAGAC